CCACATGAAGTTTGGAGGTCTGTAGTGATTGACTCTGCAGAAAGTTGGCGACCTCTTCGCACTATGCGCGTCAGCATCCGCTGACCCCGCTCCGTCAGTTTACGTGGCCTACCACTTCGTGGCTGAGTTGCTGTCGTTCCCAAACACTTCCATTTTCTTATAATACAGCTGACAGTTGACTGTGGAATATTTAGGAGCGAGGAAATTTCACGACTGGATTTGTTGCACAGGTGGCATCCTATCACAGTTCCACGCTGGAATTCACTGAGCTCCTGAGAGCGACCCATTCTTTCACAAATGTTTGTAAAAACAGTCTGCATGCCTAGGTGCTTGAATTTATACACCTGTGGCCATGGAAGTGATTGGAACACCTGATTCCAATAATTTGGATGGGTGAGCAAATACTTTTGGCAATATAGTGTATTTATGTGCCTCTTATAATATTTTTGTCTGGTTTATTCTTACTTTAAATTTTTTTTACCTTATTCATTTCTTTAACGCTGTTTATTTCTGCCTGTAGTGTTTATATTTCTGCAAATGAGGAGTGGTGTATTTTAAGGGCTCAACTTCGACCCAATGGTTGGTTAGCAGCCACCGGCCACAGTCACAACAAACATTCAACTACGATGAAGTGGTCAGTGAGCTGAGACATTTAGCAACTCTGTTTGAAAACAATGTTAACGTTATAAGTATTGATTTTATTATTTTTCATTTTGACGCTCTGACAGAACGTGTGTTTCAGTTAGCGGCACACATGGACACAGATGTCGACAATGTAGTCTTTCAGAATCTGGAGGATTTCTTAATTCGATCGCTAACGACGAAGTTGGTTTGAAGTTGGATATTGAATATTCAAGCTTCGCGGAGTCAGGATCTAGCAAATGGTTGATACAACTGAGGGACTCCAATGTCGGCCAGCGTCTCTCAGCTGCTCCCTCCTCCCACACGCTGTGGTGCATTTAGGGACCGTCAACAAACCAAGCACTCTTGTGTAACAAAAATCACTAAATTCCTTATCTTATGACCAACTAAGACCAAACTAATATAAAATCATGCCAATAGATAACATATGTAAGGCACACTTTTATGCAATTTTAAGATATTTTCAAAGAAAAAAATTGGGACTTTTCTTTAATAGCTTCAAGGTCATGTGACCTACTGACTCAAATTCTTTGTGAAATTGTTTTACTATATTAGCCTGATGAGGCACACAGTATTATTTGCATAATACTGCAACAGACTGTAACAGGTACTTTTGGACAAATATTATGTGGGACAAAGAATGTTGGACATGTTACACAATCGAACATTCTGTTGTTGCTTTTTTCCCCATACAGGATCCCATGGAGAATGACTTAAGATTATAACGGACCATAAATAAATCAGGTAATTATTGCAAAGGTGAGAAAAAGAACGAAGGTAATTAAAAGAGATATATACATTTATGTCTCTCTGTGTAATTTAATTTCTATCTACATTTATTTGTTTATTTTATTTTTAGGGGGGAATTAATTGCATCCTTATTCATTTTTTGGAGCATTTATTTATTTATGTATTTATTTTTAAATATGGCAGAGATGGTCCTCCATATGCATCCTTATTATTTTATTTAAAAAGCTGTTAAGGTTTTAGCATGGTTAGCCTCCATGAATATGTCTATGATATTTCTGTTACTGTGAAATTAGACTCACTGCTTACCCAGTGCTGCCTGCAAGGTCTAACAGTGCTGCCAGCAGCACTTAACCATTAATGTCCACCTGAAGCAATCTCCAAGGACACCTCAGAGGACTTTGGTCCAAGATTCCCCCAGTCTGCTAGTTTAAAACACAGAGATTTCTAGCAGGCACTAACAGCTGATCCTGTTTGAAGGAGAAAATGTCTTCTAGTCCAGAATAGCTCTTCTGGTCATTTCTAAGGATTAAAAAAGGGGAGATTTTGGTTGTAATGTAATTGAAACATTTTCTGTTAATTCAAACATGAATTCCATCATTAGGTCATGGTAATTTTAGAACGACACTGTATCTGATTTGTTCATAATCTCAGATCTAATTAGAAATTATAGCCCAGAGATACATATTAAGATGATCTTTTCATTTATAAGAGGGTGTATTATAAATATCCTCGGAAGGTTTTGAACTCATATCAGATTGGTCTAACAGTTCCCTTTTGTAAACACCTTTTTAACTATTCTGTGTGTTCATGAACTGTTTAGTTTTTTTATTTTTTGCAAGAACTATCTTCTGCACCAAGCGGCGGAGTGATAGCTGCCAGAAAATAGTCCTATTGATATCAAGGTCTGACAGCTTGGGATATTCTAAAATTGTTTAAATAGTCTAACAAAACACATGGATTGTTTTCTAGCTTATCGGTTCCAGGAACTATTTTTTCTCTGGTATGTTTCTCATAGCAGGAAGCTCAGTGACAGTACGGACACTGTTACATCACGTTTCACACAACTTCTTGCCCAAAAACCTGAAATATCCCTCAAACATTCCCACGCAGCAGAGTCCTGCAGCGGGTCGAGTATCCATATAAAACATACTTCTACAGGTATTAAAAAAACCCATGTTATTTCACCTGTGTAGGCACGGGTATAAATGAACAACATACGGGTAGCATAGACTTACAGCATGAATGAAACTTCATGCTGCATGAATTTTCTTATTTATCTACTCCAAATCTTAAAAAATAAATTGATTCAACAATATCCAGATAACAGTATTGTAACGATGCCAACACAAGGTGCCGTGAAACTGGGTTTTTTATTCTGAAAACACAAGCTGGTATTTGAACACAAGCTTTTATTGGAGGCTGCAAGTCCCACCTCTCACAGGTTGACACAACACATTCCAGAACACCCCACTCCCAGTCCTGTTGTGTCACTACCCGCTCCGTACCAGAAGCACAGTCTGTCACGATCGCAGCCCTGATAGCTGACCTAATTGTTCATTTCACCTGCCTAACCCTCCCCGGTTACTAATCCTCATTCATCTTATCCACCAGCTCCTGCTGCTTTATATTCAGCTCAGCCCAGCTATCGGGCTGATCGGGGATCATTCAGGATGTTTGTTTGTTGAGTTTGCTTGTTTGAGTTTTAGTTTTATGTGGAGATCATGGCTGATTTCCACAGTTCATGTCCGTGTTCTCTGAGGCCAGGGGTTAGAAAGGGTGGTGGTGTTTCTGGCTCTTCTCTGCTGAGCACGCCCTGTTACTGTTTTGGCTTGGTGTGGGGGGGCTAGTTTAACATCAGTAATCCTGCCTCTTCTCCACTAAGCATGTCCTGTTCCTAAGTTAGATAGTTTTCCTGGTGTTGAGTCATGCTTCTACCTCTCAATTGCTGAGCCTGCCTGTATTGACTCATGAAACTCAGATTCTGCCTGAACACTCTTTGGATTCCTGGATCTGTCTGCTCCTGCTCTGATCGGAAGCCCTGACTGGGTTACAGACTCCTGGATCTTAGTACCATCCTTGTTCTTCATAGATTCCCTGACCTGGCTCAGACTCTTCTCTGTTCACAGAAGATACTGCATTGGGGAAACTCTGGGCAGCTCCCGCCGTATCTCATCGGCAGTCCATCTGCTGGATCCTGCCTCACTAGAGAGGATGGACTGCACTGTCTAACCAGAGTGTTATTGAAGGGTGGTGCCCCACCTCCCCCTGCTGCCACTGCGTATCCGCAGATCAACAGCTCCGTGGTCCATTTTTTTTCTATTTGTGTAAATAAAAGCTTTAAAACTTTCCATTGTCTGTAGCAACTGAATACTTGGTCCCTTTGTCCCGTTAACTTGACTCCATCCAAACCATCAGCTCATTTGGGTATTATGCAAGCAGATATATATCCGAGTCGCCCTTGAATTTATCTAGTAAAAAAGACCTAAATTATGTTTTTCCCTCCCTAAAAATAATAAGCGCAATAAACTATAATGTGTTAAAAGTTAAACATTTATTTTCTGAGAAAATAAATGCCCTAAAATCCTGTCTGTGCCCGACCTGTACTGGAAATGGGATCCGACGTTAGTTCCAGGAGCTAACTTTTTTGGCTTTGGATTTAAACATAAAGATAATCTTTTTAAGTTTGATGTTTTCCTTTCGTGTTGACCTTATGGTATACGGTGCGTTGTCTAAAGAAAGAAAACAACTGAAATGCAGATAAACATGGTTTAATCATATTTTGCCGGATTGCTCTGAGCATGTCCGATGATGTAAAAAACATTCAAACTGTCTAAAATTCATAAAACATTTTTTTAAAGATTTCTATTAGCATTCAGCTTTTAGTACCATAATTACATGATTTATGGCGACCTGGTTGAATACTTGCTTGCACATGCGCAAATGAGCTGATGATACGGATCGGGTAGTGACAGGTTGCACTGCCGGTGTCCCGCCCACTTGACCGACACCACAACACATGAGTGAAAGTCAGCAGAGGCATACACAAACAGGTTATCCAAACTAATGTGGGTAACAATAAGAACATTACATGTAACAAGGTGAACACCAAAACAGAACCATAGCACTGGGCCATTACAGTATTTTATTTAGAGTAATGAGGCAAACCTTCCTACTTCGGCCAATTTACAGCTGTTAATCTGTGAGCGCAGCCTGGATGTGAGCGTGAGGCAATGTGTTTTACTGTTTCCGTTACTATAAAGGGCTGTCTGACTTGTGATCCTGGGTCGGGTCGCATTGCATAATTTATGGGTCCATGTGGTTTTTATTTGGGGATAATTGGGGGTAATGGATCAGGTCTCGATTCTGAAATCTACGGGTACGAGCGGACACAGTTTGGTAAAAGACCCATGCAGGAGTCTGCAACATTTGTATATTTGTATATTTGATGCCACCTCTGTTGCAACCCCACGCAGGGCACACAACATCACCACATGTCTTTGGGCTCTGTGTGCGAGCAGCATTCAGACATCAGGATAAAGTCTTACATTATGGGTGTCGATGCTAAAAGTGCAGTTTAAGACGGGGTGACCCCAAAGACAACAGCCTACCTGCTGCATGCTGTGCATGCTCTGCTGCAGCAGCTGGATCTGAGCCTCTGGGCTGTTAGCATGTGTTAGTGCCTGTGGATGAGCGTGATCATCGTCTAGCCTATTGATTCTGCTCTGCTCCTTCTTCAGAAGCTCAACTTCGTTCCTGTATGCGTCCAGCTGCCAACGCAGGGAGTCGTTCTCTTCCTTCAGAGAGGCCAGGGTCTGATCACCCACTCCTGAAGGGGGTTGACATCACATTTACACAGTGTTTAGAATTTAATATTTCAGAAAACGAAATCCAACAAAGAACAGTTTGCTTTATTACCAGATAGAACCAGAGAATTTAATGCAGTGGATAAACTGATTTATCAAACCGTTTTCTTCAGTGCGCATCCTCTTGTTGGGGATATCGTCTGAATCATCGTCTGACATCTCCATCTCCTCTTCTCGTCGGATCCCCATTATCTCCTCACTGTGAGCATTTCTCAGCTCCTAAAATATCGGATGGACACAGAAACACAGTGGATCTTGCTCAGGGCACTCACCAAACACTGTTCAGTGCTAACATCACATAAAAAAACAACAAATTATTCTGATTTATCCACTAAGTAAAGTTATACTGGGCAATATGAAATCTCAAATTTATAAACTAAGGTGTAAACCAGGGGTCTACAACGCTGGTCCTCCAGATGCATCACTGTGCAAACACAGCTAATTCAAATGCCATCGGGTTTAGCAAAGGTCTAGTAAAGAGCCATTTATATGATGGAGCAGGGATTGATCCAAAACATGCACCTGTAGATCTTAAGGACAGGAGTTAGAGACCCCTAGAGTAAACAGTTATGCATGTTCCTTTGGTAAATATAACTGGAGAACTGAGATGAGAAAATGTAAAACTCCCACCTGTATGATGCCTGTGTTACTCTGATCTCAGAAATAAAAAGCCCTTTTAACTAAACAAAAGAGTGAACGCTCTCACTTTTCACATTTTGGCAAATTCCAACCACAGATTTCAATGTAAAAGTTTTACATACTTGTAAGATAAATATTTTTTTCAACCACTGTGGCATACTCTGCCTTTTCTTTCTAATGCCTGTAGATAAATCTGTGGAACCATCTACCTTTCAAAAATCACCAAATTAGTATCTCCATTTGTTTTGTTTAATTTCAGTATGACTGAAGGCCCTTAGTGGCTGGTTAACACTGTGCGATCGTTGCACGCAGCAACAGCTCACACTGCACGACGAGACCCTGCAGTTTCGTCATACAGTGTGAGTTCACAGCTCACGATGCATGTTCAGCATGACGCTCGGATGCGATCTACCTGCTCACATTGTACGTCTAAAAACCACGTCGGATTCAGCTCTGCAGTGAGATGGTTACTCAGGGAGCCAAACGACTAGTAGAGGAACATGAAGCTCACTAGAGTGAAACGCGCTGCCTTGGCAATTTGTGCAACTCTGTGCGCTGAAAGCCCTAAAAAGAAAAGGCGACAACGTGTTTGGACAAAGACATGGCTGAGCAAACGTGACTACTACGGTCTGTCAATTTTACAGAAAGGCTGTGGAGATGCTTTTCTTCTGCAGTCAAAGCTGGTGCTAAACCCTTGTGTCCTGGAAGGTGCAGCTTCTGACATGATTCTAACCACCGACGTGAAGCCAGAAAAACAGTAAAGTTTTTCAGTTAAAACATGTTAAATATGTTACAACGACCCCAAGTCTGGATTTAAATCCAATTAAGAATAAAGAGGAAAAACCGCTGTGAACTATTTTATAAAGAAAATAAAAAAAATGTAAGTGTCTAGATGTGGATGGATGTGCCTCTAGCTTGACCTGTGATGGACTGGCCCCTGTCAAAGGTGCACCTCAAATCTCACCAGACTTTGTTGCATAAAATGCAGATAAAACGCAATGAAAGTTGTGGTTGTAAACTGAAAAACAGGGAAAAAGTTAAAGAATCATGCTACGTTTGAATGCAGCTAAAATGAATAGATTCTGTCACATTCAGGATGTTTCCTAGTTGAGTCCTTGAGTCCTGACTGAATGAATTACTGTAGGTTGTAACATGATTGAACTGGAGTTGCCCTAAAACCCTTGTTTGCAGTGGTTAGCTGGCAGCGGGAAGCACATGGTTTCTAATTATTTTATATGCTTTAATTAAAGCTCATTGTATTTAACTCTTTTTAGCACATTCTAGTTCTGCATGTGTCATTTTCACATGAAACAGCCGCTGAATCCAGCTGCCTAGAGCTGACTGTGCTGAAACCGTCCCTCTATTACAAGCTTAAATCTCACGCTTCTTTCTACTTGTTATCTTAATTTAATTCTGGATGAATAATTGATTAGAGACCTAATCCTGGAAATCACTGTTGCCATGGCAGCGCCTCACACTTTCGAAGAGACGTCAGATGTTTCACAGTTTCCCAGCTGGTAGGAGGAGAGGCCCAGGATCACAGGCAGCTATCTTTCTGTCTGTCTGTTAGAACCAAACATCCAGTAAAACAGCAACAGGGCTGCTGACTCTGACAGATCAGGCAGGCCTGTCTGTCAGCTCGCTCCTGGGGACTCACAGGTGACAGCAGAGAAGAAAGCAGAAGTGCTGGGATGGGAGGAGAGACACAAGAGAAGGCATACCAACCTCACACTGCTTGCGCCAAATGTCTATGTTCTTGCGCTGTGCTTTTGAGAAATGGTCCCATGCCTTTTGCCTGGTGGCGGCCGTGAAAATGCCGGTGATCTGTTCGACTTTGAGGTGAACAGGGAAGAGGAGGGTCAAGACAAAATAAGCCATTGATGTAGCATGTAGCTCTGACTCGAGGCTCCTACACCAAACAGAGGAGAGACCGTAAGACTGACCACAGGCTAGTACACTCTATCAGACAGGAAACTGTCATGTTCACAGTGATATGAGTTCATTAGCTTTTCTCTGAAGTGGGTTTGTGTTGTGTCATAAAAGTCAGAATCTAACCTGGAAAGTCGTCACACTTTTGGAGAATCAGCCTTGTTAGACAGAACAGGGGTGAAAATGGTTCTTTTAGGGCCACATTTACTGGACCTGCTTTCAAAATACCCAACTACTAGCTAATCATTAACTATAGCATTGATTATTTTCCAAAAAACTTAGTTCTTTGTGTCCTACTGGATTAACTGGACACAGTATTTTATCGGGTCATGCAAACCAAGTACCGTAACTACTTTCTTATGTTTATTAATTGTTTTATGAAAATAGGATTTCTTTAGCAAGTAAGTTGGGTTCAGGGATATAAATAGGGATCATCATGAGATTTATTATAATCTACATATAATCAACATCAGGTTTAAATGAGTTATCATCTTTTTGTGCTTTCAGAACTTCTGAAAGTTTAAAAGGCTCATATCATGTACAATTTACCTTTTTAAGCAAAGAGTCAACGAAATCAACTGTTTTTTCATTAGATAGAAAACTTTGAATTAATTTGACTGTATGATCTGGTAAAGTGCCTTTAGATGACATGTGTTGTGATTTGGGGCTATATAAATAAACTGAATTGAAGCATATGAGTGTAATAATGCTGTTCCTTAATAAAATAATACACAAAATGGTATTTGGCCTACTCTGTCAAAATCTTCTTCTTCAAGTCCTATTTTAAGCTGCAATGTTTCCATTCCAGGAAGCGTCTACCTTAACCATGCTGTGCCTGCACTGTAAACAAACCCCACTTTCCCTGGTGTAAGGCAGAGCGCAATGATTCTGGCTCAGAGTTTAGACATTCTGGCTCCTTTAGCAGCTAATCTGCATAGAGCAGCAACCTTTCCTACTGCTTATGTCTAAGTTGTGAAAATCTGATTATTGGCCATGAGAACTCTTGGACTTTGTTGAGTCTTCTAAAGCTGGGTGATACAGAGAGACATAATATGGAAAGTGGAACAGGTGTTTTTACTCAGGGTTGAAAGAAAACAACTACACTTTCTAACAAATTAATACCCAAGTAGTTTTAAAAGCATTTTTTCATCATATATTTGCCTATAGGTGTCTGAGAATTAGGTCCTTGAAGGGTTTGGACAAAACTAACTTGCAGTTAAGTTAGAAGAATAATGTTTCTGGAAAAATGTAATCTAAGAAACACTTGTCTTCTTATTAGGGTTATTCTGAGTTGGCCCCTGTAACATTTCCAAAACAGGCTAAAATAATACAGAAAATAAAGCAATCTGCTTTAAAAAATGATTATTTGCAGTGGTGTTAAAAGTACACACATTTGTTACTTAAGTAGAAGTATAGATACTGCAGTTTAAAAACACTTTGGTAAAAGTTGTAGTATCAACTTGACCTCTTTACTCAAGTAAAAGTGAAAAAATATGTGCTCCAAAAACTACTTAAAGTATAAAGTAACCTTTATAAAAAACAGCCAGATGCCACAATATGAATTGAAAGCTCAATTTTTCAACTATTTCTAAAAATTCTTTGAGATAGGGCAAAGGATTCAATTCAATTCAATTCAGTTTATTTCTATATTCACAACACATGTCATCTCAAGGCACTTTACAGTTCAACCAGATCATAAAGTCAAATTTATTCAAAGTTTTCTATCTAAGGAAAACCAGTTGATTGCATGAACTCATTGAATCAAATGCAGTCCCTCACACTAAGCATGTTTGTAGCGACAGTGGAGAGGATGATGGAGGTCTTGTTGGTCTCCGTCTCCCGATACACTCTCGCCTGTGTCTGACCTTTCAGACATTTCAACATCTTTTTCTGAATCCTACATTGTAGCATGGCATAGACAATTCATGTTGGCAGTTTGAAGAACACCTGCTAGCTTCTGATGATTTCCTTTAACTAACCAATGAGTGTTTGCGTTATATGACTCCTCCAATTACACTAGTTTTCACTAGATGTAGATGGCGCCAATGATCTGCATTGGATGGCGCACATGAGGTGAAATAAATATTTATAAACATTAAACCAAAGCCAAGTGTAACGAGTAATGTTTGTTTTAAAAATGTAAGGAATAAAAAGTACAGATACTTAATATCTGATATGAAAATGTAATGAGTACAAGTCAGAAGTAGAAAGAAAAATAAGTAATGGAGTAAAGTATAGATACCTAAAAAGTAAATTGTAACGAAGTATTTGGACTTCTTTACTTGACACCTCTGATTATTTGGTTCAATAATCAATCAAACTCGATGGAAGCATAATTCGTGTCTAAACAGGATTTCATATAAAACTGTGAGAACACAGATTTTGTTTTTGGCATATGCATTAAATATGTTTTCCTCAATGAATTATTACTTTCTTAATCAGAAATAATAAGAAAACAACCAAATATAGCATTGTACCTAATTATAATTTTAAGTTATATAGACAAAAGAATCTGGACCCTTTGGTTTATATGTAAGCAGTACAGCGAATGGAAATATCTCCCAACATAAATTGACTTTTTTGGGTTTTTGGCAGTGGAATAATATACCTGATATTTGGAAATCCTACCATTTAATGATTACCTCGTTAAAACTTATTATATGGGCAAAATAAACCTCTAAAGTATAAGCCGAAGAAAATGGGTAACCAGTTTTATTTTCATGACCCCTCACGACTGTTTTACACAGTTTTGAAGTGCCGAACGCAACAGTATGAAATAAATCCCAAGGTTTGTGGTTAATTATATATCTCTTCTCACATTGTGCAAATACATCTGGCAGATTTATTTAAAAAGTAGTCGTTTAATATAACCCATGTGTTTCATGTGGTAAACATCAAATTCATGGCTTACTGTAAAGGGGCTAAAGATTAGGGTAATGGCACAGAGGCATTTTGTGAAATGACCTGAAAAAAAAAGCACAAACTCAGCAGTTAAAAGGGTTTGATTGCTTAAACCCATTGGAGATTTGTTATTTATTACTGAGAAGTCTATTATTTTTCTTTAACATGAAATCTGTCAATGATGTGTAACTGATAACATCTAAATCTGCCAAGATTATGACTGATTTTGGCTTTAGGAGTATTTGCAATGATCTAAGGTGTGTCAGGCCATGAACAGGTCTCTCCTCTGGATCGTGTTCTGTACTTACATTAAAAGCAGATTCACTTCCTTCAAGACTGACAAGGCAACATTTCTCCAGAATAGAAGAAGAGCATTAGGACACTATTCTTATCAGGGCTGTGGGCTCAGATAATGAGAGAAAATTAAAGGTTCATTTGGTTTATTTATCCCTCTCTGCTGTGCTTCAGCACTTTTTCTGCATCTATTAGTGCAAAGAAGACTATGGTTTACACTCTTGGTGCTGTGGCCACTTTAGGCGGAATTTAACTGTATTTCCACTCAGATAGATAGACAGCCTTCTTTCATTCTGCGTTAAAATGTTGCCTTTAAATCTTTGCTCTCACAACTTGCTGTTTCTGAACATTTCAGGCTTTTAAATTCCATATGCCTTAAAAAAAAGAAGAAAAAAAGATCCAGACATTTCAAACGTGCTTATTTATGCAGTGCTATCTCTGAAGTGACACTATATAAAACAAGGAAATAAACTGTAAAACTGAAAAACTTTGACAGCACAGTACTTACCTCTTTATATTTTCTTTAAGCGGCAAAGCTTTGAACAGGCAACATAAACAGATGCCACATTTTTCTCTCCTAAAGTATCTGTCTTGGTTTCTGTTTCTCAAGAAAACTGAATGTCTCAGGTGACCATAGGTCAAAATCATCTGTCTGTCTGGATGGTGATGAAAATGAAGAAAAAAGGAAATCAGTTCATCACTTTAGTCTACTGTGATTTCTTTTTTTACATTTGATTTTTTTTTCTCACTGCATAGAGGGGAAGGTGGAGAGCAACGTGAGATTCTATTGTTTTTTGGCGAATATATTAAAGTTCTTTTCCATTATCTGCTCATCTCTAGATATTTCTGGTTTTCTGAAACCCATGGTATCATCTCAGTGTAGATGAAGTCATCATGGAAAGGTGAGCTAAGACGTAACGTCACATGATTTGTGTGTGACACAAACAAACGGAGGACATTTTCTTATTTCTGTCTGTCATTTCTGTCATTATATTATTTAATTTCAGCTATAATTAGCTGTCAGAGATGCACATAAACACTTTAGTGTTGAGAGGTTGAAAAAGAGGGCTTTGAGCTGATGATGAATCAGTGTTTTTCTAGAGTCATGCTGGATCCTTTATGACAACAGGAAACTCCAGAACACACAGCCTGTATTTGTGATTCTGTGCTGCACAGATTTTTGCTGCTTTGCCAAAAAAAGGTCAAGACGTTGTGGAGCCACAGCCTCTGAAGCTTCTAAGCGGCTGACCTCATTGGGGCAGCACGGTGAGCTCAGGATAACACCGTTGATGGGGAGACGGATGAGAGAGTGTTGTCATGGAGACAGGGCTGAGATGCTCGCAGGGTAAATGAATCAAATCGAGATGGGCTTCAAAGTGGATGTGGTGAAAATGGCTTTATGGTCTGCACCTCTGTAATCTGCTGCGGCACCACGCCCTGCAGCACTCAGAGCAACTCATGTGCAGTCATAGGGGATGAGGATGAGACCATAGGAGTTATACTATGTGTTTATTATTAAGGTACTAATATCACGCTCCTGAAAGTTGCCATAAATTCTAATCCCCTCACAAAATGGATGAAAGTAATGAAGAACCAGTCACACTCCTGGATCCTGATGTTTCTTGCTGTTATACATGTTTTCAACTGAAACATCCTACTGACACTGTTAATAGACTGATCCCTCAGCTATCAGTCAGGCTTACCTTAATAACTGCACCGGTTACCGTTATTTTATGGAAGACGCTCTTCACAGTCTTAAACCTCCTGCCTGAAAGGTTCTCTCACAGTGACTGTATCACACTTAAAAAGCATACTTACACTGTGTTAGGATGCCCATCAGGGCGTTCTTGAAGATCTCCTTGGCGCGTTCGAACTCCTCCTCATGCAGAGCTTTTTCGCTCATCAGCCGGCGAACGTGGCTGTTTGCTGACTGGATCATGGAGTAAAAGTGGTTGGCGGTCCTCCGGTTGACTTCGCCTCTGTCAATCCAGGTGAAGAGGACGGCTGTGGCCTCGCTGAACTTGTTGTCGTCTGAGGAAAAAGTGAAAAAGAGTTGAACCAAACTAGCAGTTTTTGCTTTACTAGCTATCCCAGTTTTTTCCCATTAGCTAAATGAATCCATCTTTTGGCATCAGTATTAAAATAAACAATTTGTTTCCTCTAAAGTTTCAACCAAAATGGGAACTACCCTCCAATTTTACTCGCGTTTTTTTCACACTGTAAAAAATCTAAATCTAGATAACTCATTTTTTCTTAAAATAAGTGCATTTGTTCTTAAATTGAGGAGATAAAAGATACATTTTGCCATAAGACAATTTAGATTTTAAATAAGAAAACACAATTGCATTGTCCTATTTTAAGTGCATATTATCTAATTATCTTATTGTAAGAGCAAAAATACTTATTGTATTGGCAAATTATCTCATTTACCTACTCAAATTAAGGGTAAATACACTTAATTTAAGAAAATGTAACTTATTTTTAGATTGTTTTTCCAGTGCATTTATATCTACTAATGCAGTAGCGCTCTAAACCCTTTTACTCATGCAAAATGTTTACGGACTAGATTGCAGAGTTTCCAAGTTTAACATTTACCTAAAATAAATTTAAACATGAATAAAGGAAATATATGTATGTAAAAACCTAAGTAACATATACATTATAAAGCTCATCAAGGCTTAGATCAATTAAGATCTATGATTTGGTGCTAAAACTTCAGAAGTTTAAAATATTAATCTGCATATCCTACAAAAAACACTTCATCACATAAACCCATTCAATAAAACTGCTTCATTTTATTTAGAATGAATAAATGTCAGTTAGATTTTATATTATGGTGTTAAACTAATAATCAGGAGAACTGCAGTAAATATGAAGACTATATATTTCCAAAGCGAATGTGAACCTTGTACATTTTTCCCAAAGTATTGCTAAAGATTTAAGCTGTGAACCAGCAGTTAGAGACTGTTTCCACTGAGGAAAAATGTCACTGGTTAAACATGAATCATAATTTCCAAGCGGAGCTATTACAGTCCTTAACGGCAGCCCCTCGGTCACAGAGATGACGGAGTGCAGACTGGCCTTCTCTGAAGTAGAAGAAGAAAAGAGTTGGTAAAAGAAGCATTTAGATATCTTTTAGGAAAGCTCTCATCTTGGTCATTTAAGGTGGACTTTTCAATTTGTATTCCCTGATGTAAAAATACTGAAATGGGAACCAACCAATGTTAAAACCAAAACACATGCTGCAATGTGATCGATGTGTGCAATTAAAATTCTTAATTGTAATGTTTATTATTATCATTAAAATCACAAAGCAGCTACCACACCAGCAGAAATCAATACATCACATCAAAAACGTCTAAAGAATTTTAAAGCACTGTTGTTCCATTTAAATAATATGAGATGGGTGTTTTTCTGCTCCAACCATGAAGCATTAAGAGTTAAGATAAGATAATTGAATTTAAAAGTATTCTATTGATTGTAAAGGAAAAAGAAATTTTGTAACATCCCCACGCATAAAGACAATGACCTCACCAAAGGACACTGAACCAAAAATCCTACAAAACAAAACAGAAAAAACTCCTAAAACTTTGCAGTTGACCCTAAAAACAGGCCCGTACGGTCATATTTTTACTATCTTCAGCAACCCTGGTACCTGAGAGAAAAATATTAGAGTTAAAAACAGGATAAACAAAACACAGGGTTACAGTTGAAGAAAAAAATTAAAACTTCTACAAAATTCCAAGACTTGTATGATGACAAGTCAAACAAAATGGATTATTTACAAAGTAACGGCACAAACACAAGTAGCAACTCTAATACCAAATGGTTACACATCAGGTGGTCCAGCACCACAACAAGGTATATAGATATACAAGTACCAACAAAAATATAAACCCCCCAAAGAGATCAGCATGGTCCAATACTGTGCCTTCAGTCAAATAATCTTGGATGTTTTTTTTCTGCTACAAACAGGATTCACTACCTCTAATGATGATAATTCAATTTAATCAAACTTAATTTCAAAGCAAAATCGAATTTCTGTAACTCATAAAGGTTTTCTGAATTAATTGTTGGACATCTTGATTTCTATTTTCTTTATCTTACTGATTTCTTTAATAAAAATGCTCAGATTCAGGATGATCGTTTCTACAGCATGCCATAAAGTGGACCACCAGCTCTCCTGCCCTCAACTTTTTCTTCACCTGACGAAAACACGTCTCCAAGTACTTTTGCAAAAGATAAGGGTCTTTATTTCACTGGAAGTTGGGGGTATACAGGGTAAATGGTAAGAGGAATGTCCCTGCTGGTGCTCCTATTGTACGTTGCTAACTAGGTAAGATACACAATTATTTAGTCTCCCAATTCTGTGGTCTGTTTGTTACATGACAATTTGATCAAGGCAATTTCTTTAGTAGAGGATTAGATCAAGTAAGAGCTATGATTTGGTACTTAAACTTCAAAAGCTTAAAATAATAATCTGCATATCCTGCAAAGAACACTTCATCACATAAACCCAATCTATATAACTCCAAAAACTGTGGTCTGTTTGTTACATGGCAATTTTGTCAAGGCAACTTCTAAGGACTCCACCTGTATATCCTGGAGTTTCTAATAAGAAAAACAGGCTGAAACTTGTCATCAAATGACAAAACCCTTAGTATACCTGCCTTTTCTAAATAACAGTGGGTTTGTTACAGCAGGCATATAATGGTGTTCTTTTCTCCATCTCCACAGCGATAAGAAAACTACAGGAGGTCTTGATACTTGCTTGTTCACTTCTCAGCTCAGTCATCAAAAAGTCTCCATAGGACACTTGTGATGTTAGATGTCAGGGCAACTGGTTTATAGTCACTGGAGACTAAATTCTCTTTGGAACAAGGCATGAGATCTACTGGGACCCTGTCATCAGTAAGGAAGCTTGCTGTTGCAGAATCCCTCTAAGTTGCTCAGAACAGATGTTTAGGATTGTTTGGCTGAGACTATGTTGACCTGGAACCTTATTCCAGATCAGTCACTCTTTACCTTACCTCTAGAGACAGACAGACAGACAGAAAGGGTACAGAGCAGCACCATCTGATTAAGAACAAACACTTAGAAGTAGAGGGCACTGGCTTAGATGGAAAGATGTGAGACGAAAGCTTTGGGTCAAAGGTAGATAGAATGGGCTTTGGGTAGGAGTAAAAAGGAACTGGTCCTACTGAACGTTTTTATCTGACCTTATCAAGACTGAAATCGCCTTTAGCCTTTGCAAAGCATCTATCACAGAGGGATTAGAGGGCAGCGGCCTGGATCCGTACCCACCTGCTGGCTAATCAGAACCCAACCTGATTTAAAACATTTATAAATTACTGCATGTTGTCCTACAGCAGTGTCTGATTTCACTTCTCCTGTTCCTACGGGAAAGCCCTCCAGAGTGTCCAGGACCAGGCTACACATGATACAAATTAGCCAATGAGCTGCTGTCAGTCTGGGTTGCTGCTGCTGCTACTTTTAGACACAGCAGGCAAACCTGTGGTAAGCTGGGCGATGGGAAAGAAGGAGAAGATGATGAGAAAAAGTGAAAGAAAGTGTGGACTGCTGGAAGAACTGAGGTGAACAGGTGAAAGAAAAGTGAAATGGCGTGCTCAAAGATGACCCTGCACATTTTTAGTAGGCTCAACCTGCTGCTGTGTATCAGGATTCTCCACCATGAACATAATCAAAAATAAATATGGATCCAGGCTCAAAATGAACACCTTGATATGTGCTTCAAAATGGCTTTGTCTCCATTTAAATGCAGTTTAAAGCCATTCAAGGCAGCATAAAGCCCACTGATCAGAGGGGCGATAGTGGCGTCGGATGTAGGAGTTTGCCCTGAAATCGAAGGATTGACGGTTCAATCCCCGGCTCCGATGTTGCTCCAACGTTGTGTCTTTGGGCAAGACACTTCACCTGCATTGTCTACTGATGGTGGTCAGAGGGCCCGGTGGTGCCAGTGTACGGCAGCCTCGCTTCTATCAGTGAGCCCCAGGGCAGCTGTGGCTACAATGTAGCTCACCACCATCAGTGTGTGCGTGAATGGGTGAATGAATGTAGTGTAAAGCACTTTGGTCAAATCTCCTGACTTGAAAAAAGTACATGCCATTTACCATTTCATTAAAAAAACCACTTTAGATTTCCTTTAGATTTTGAAATGGAAAAATGTTACATATGTATATATATTGTTTTATTTAAAAAGTCAATTTATAACATTGATGCATAAACACCTCAGTTTATTTCAGTGTTAAATTCTGTTTACAGTAACAGATTATAATTAAAAATGTCTCCGGACCTTTACTGGTTGTTGATTTTCTTTATTCGTATCCTGCTGATTTTTAATTGATCTATCATATTGTTCTGCTGGTGCTTCCTCTCCAGCATCTTGCTGTTTCCCTTCACATTGTTTCTTACACTGACTTTAGGTTACTTCTGTATACTTCCCTGTCTCTGCTCCTGCAGGTTCTTTTTTCCTTTTCCTGGGTCGCTGGTGATCCAAGGTTTGTTGTTAGCCTATCACTGTTCTGATGTGGATATTTTTTCTACAAATAGATTATTATTAACGTCTTCTCTGTGAGGCTGACATAATGCATGCAAGTTATTTGCCTCAAAACAACTTTGATAAGATTGTTCAGCTGCCTGTGACCATCTTTTTATAGTTATATTTATAACAGGTTGCCTTTAAAATAAGATGCAGATGTTCTGAGCAAAGAAAAACAAAACAGTGGTCTGATTCATCAAGATCTGGTCTTGCTTTACAGATGTGTATCACAATATCTGACATTTGTGTAAAACCAGTTTTCTCTGGCACAGCAGCTGAAAAACTGAGGAAATATTGGACATATAGCAGAGAGTGAAGCATGGTTAAACATGATGGCGTAACATAAACAGCTGTCAAAATAACAACAGAGAGCTCTCTGGGAAAATAATATGGATCAACACTCACTGCTTTCAGCAAATTGTCTGGAATGCAGAGAGGAAAATTCACAGTAATATTTGCTGGTTGACACCAT